CACAATTTTGAAAAATGTTTTTGAAATATTTATTTCGTGCTATAATATATCGATCCTCTTTCAACTTCTAACGTTATAAAAAGTATGATGTTTTGGTTTATTACATATATTTAAACTAAGAAATTGGCTCCTTATAGCTTGTAAAAACATGTCACTACGTAGTAAAAAGTTTGCTTTGAATGGAGTGCTGGAAAACAAATAAATATATATATATATATATTTATTTATTTATTTATTTACTTATTTATTCCCTAACTTTTAGTAACATAATTATAGAAAGCTTATTCTACTGTCTTCTACCATTGACACTAACGATATTGAAGCATTGATTACTCTTCCAACACTGAACATTAGCAATAACCCTTCTTTACTACATAGTCTGATGTTTTAGAAGCTATTAGGAACCAACTGTCTAGTTTATTTAAAACAGAAGTGAAAGTGAATAGCAAAATATCAAAGCTTAAAATAGAAATAAGTAAATTAGGTCTATTTTGTACATACATATATTTACTGTAACATTTGTATTTCGTAAAACTAGAAACTTAAAGAATAATTAACGAACAATATTAACATAAGTTTAATATTTTTCTTTAGCTTGGTATGCATAAATACAAAAAAAAAAAGAAATTAAAATGTAATCAATTTTAATGTATATAATGAAATATTTATTTTAGTAATATTAAATTCAATGTCCTACATTAAATACATGTATTAGAGTATTAAAACACATTAGAAATAAATTATAAAGATAAAAATACAACTATATATATTATATATAAACCATTTTTTGAAATTCCTCGTTTGAGCCTATGGTATATATGTAATTGATTTATTATCTGCATAATTGTATTTAAAGTATAATTTTATCTAAACTTGGCAAAAAAAAAAACGGATAAAATAAATATGAAAGAAATTGTATACGAAATAATAATAATAAGAGACAATTTAAGTCAATGTCAATATGCATATAAGATAAACATTCTAACTAGATAGTATTCCAATTTATTTTTAATATATAACTTTTAAATATTAAATGTTATTTTACAATATTAAGTTAATGACGGAGAAATTAAATAAATTAATTAATAATTAGAAATCAGATAATTCAATCAATGTCCAGTTGAATTCATGATAAAAGTGACAATTGATAAAAATTTCTATTCTATCAAATCTCGATTAAATTTCTATTAAATTTCGGTCATAATAAATATAATGGTAATTTTTATGGTTAAAAGTTATTTAATATAGTAATTAATATTTTTATGTTTAATTCTTGTACCATATTAATAAAAAATCCTGGAAAATATAAAAAGAATTCTGTGAAAATAAGTCATATAATAATTAAATAGATGTAGTGAGTGAATAAACCGAAAATAATAATATTTTATTTAACCTCAATGTAAGGATAATATTTGTAGAAAAAATTTTATCATATTTCACAAAATTTTGCTTACATATAGATAGCAATTTAATTTTTATTACATCAAATGATAAAGTTTAGTTAATGAAATCTGAAAGAAAGAAATTTTTACCGTAAACATTATATACCTTAAGAGATAAAAAATTTTAATTAGTTCTGATTCAAATAAATTGGTAAACCACAAATTATCTTTCATATATTTTTCTTAGTATTGATATATCTATTTGTTATATCCTGTAATTTAAAAATCTTTTATTTTATGAAATTTTTTTATAAAATTGTAAAGTTAATAGTAATAAAATTAAGTCGCGTGTTCATATAAAAGGATATTTCATACTCTTTCTGCATCAATGTAAATTATTTTAATAATTTGAGTATGTCAAAACAATTGCCTTTAATAAGAAAAAAATATTTCAAATTTTAAACATTATATGTTTTAAATTTTTAAATTATTATAATGATCTATTCACTAGAAAAATATCACTTTTATGACAAAATTCTTACTGTTTATTACACACGAAAAATAAATAATTATCAAATAATATGTTCAAAATTAAATTTGTAAAGAGCATCTGAATAAATTGGTACTAAATTAGAAATGTATATTTATATTTGCTTGATATATATAATTAATTTTTTTTCATATTATCCAAAAACAAAGTCTGATTTCTAATAATTGTTTTTATTTTATAACTTATAAATGCATCAAAGTATAGAAATGTTTATTGAAATTTTTAGATTAGTCGTATATTACATTAACTATCCGTATCATTATTATCATAATGGTTCGATATTTTCCTTTGAAGTACATGTTAAAAGATAAGTATTTTTATCCTTTCTCTGCAACTATTTCATTCGAACATAATACATTTCTTTGTTAAACTCACCTATAAAAGGTGCACATTATAAAAATAGATCTGTACAGAATGGTAGGTTACGAGATAGATAGATAGATAGATAGATGGATATATATCCATATATACCTTGAAATTTCCTAGAATAGAAAATTTCACATATAATGGCTGCATTTAAATCACTATAGCAATAACAGATTCTTGGAAAACGATTTTACAATGAAGAAAAAATAAGTTCCATAAACGTATTGGGATTCATTAATGATCTATAAACATAGACGTTTGTGTAAATACATAAAAAATTTATTGAACAAAGATAACAACAATTTCTTTATATATTTTTTCAATGGTATTACGCTATTAAATCCATAGTACATTAAAAATGTTTCAGCATCACTTTTCTAAGTATTTGATTAATTACAAATGCCAGTAAAATAAGAAATAAAGATTTATTAGATAGGGATTGATTCAGTTAATTATCAAATAACATTGATAAATTATAAAGATAATATACAATTATTAAAAATTATATATAAAAAATATTATACGCAGCTGATATAATATACATTTTATGTATTTTTTTATTTAACAAATAGATATATATATATTTCAAATTACAGTAGTTTAAATTCCAATAAGACGTAAAAAAAAGTAATATTTTACTTAAATTAAAATAAATATAGTAATTTATAAATCTTTCTAGTTTCATTTCAACTATGGAATTTAAATTTTCATTGAATTATTGAATATTTTATTTCAATATAATATACTTAAACAATAAAATTAAAAAATAGATAAGATATAATCATAGAGCAATGTTATCACTGTATTTTTAAATAATTTTACTTAATAAAAAGTCTTTTACAAAAACATCAAAAACAGCAAACTCCATAGATACTCGTTCATTCTAATTAATAAATGTTTATTATGAAAAAAAAAAATTATTATTAAAATAATTATTTTCATTTGATCATTGGAAAAACACGTTATCAATAAAATTCGATTAATACAATAAATGTTATAGATGCAACATTATAGCCGTGGTATCGTTATTATTATTATTATTATTATTATTATTATTATTATTATTATTATTATTTTTATTGTTATTATTATTATCATCATCATCATTATTATTATTATTTTTTTTATTGTTATTATTATTATCATTATCATCATCATCATTATTATTATTATTATTATTATTATTATACTATTATCAAAGGTGTAAAGAAATGTAAATTCATTTTATTTACAAAATTTTCGTATATTTACACAAATGCGATACAATGTATACACAAAATACGTATGGTGTACACTCAAAACTTGTTCTCAATCCAACGAGAAAGATCACTACAACTGCTCGTCGGATAATGAATTCCAAATGTCTTTGGATTTCTTATTACAAATAAAAAAAATAAATTAATAAGTACATAATAACCCGCAAAGCATACAAGAACGCTTTTATGGCTTAGAAATATAGTCAATGCAAATTAATAATATTGAACAAATTTTAACGAATGATATCGGATTAAATATCTTATGTATGTTTATAATTTTCTTTCGTATAGTTTTACTGGAAACTATGCAGAATACATATAATTATAAAATCCTAGTTATCTTTTAAATTTTTATTTTTTTTCTATCATTTCGCATAAGTGGTTTATGTTTGAAATAATAAATAAATTTTCTTCGTATATTTTTACTTTCACAATATATTTATTCGGATAATAAATTTTTAAGTTAAACTACTATTATGAATGCCATGATTAGCTTAAAACTTCATTTGTACATTATGTATACAATCATTTACAGTCTTTTCATGAAACATTATTATAAGCTTTGTGTGAACCAACTATTATATTATAAAGATGATCCAATATAAAATATAACATCCATACAGCTTTACACAGTCAGTCACTTCATATGAGATTATTTCTTGCAATGAATAATATAAATGTCCTATAATCAATACTGTTGTATTACTAATTATTAAGCGTTTATGTAAATTATGAAAGTTAATAGTAACTTATAATTGCATTTTTCGTTTAATGTAAAATCTATAACAAAAGCCAATTTACCTCAAACATTAACATAAAATAGCCCGTTAAAATCTCATTTATAAACATAATTTTCCATAGTAATGGTATTTGTGTCAAGATAGTGACATGATTTCACCAAGGCAAGTGGTGACCCCAAAGGTCAGTAACTACTTTCGTCGAGACAGTGCCACTAGTTGAGAAAAGATCTTCTTTTCTCTCGTGTCTTTACCTCCTTCCATCTCTTTCACTACTGTTGCTGCTTTCAACGATCTTGAAACTCTTTAATATTTACGATTGGATCGTGAGAGTGAAAACTAGCGCTACTTAAGAAAAATGTTTACTTTCTCTCAAATACAGTAGTTATTTTTTAAGGAATATAAAATCATAAATCTGTCTTTATTTTTATTCGATGAATAAATATTACTTCAAATAAAAAAAAAACTTCACCAGTAATTAAACGATTATTTTTAATACTTACGATGTGTAGTTATTATGTTATATACAAAATATTTCATTTTTGCATGGCACTTTTAATAAAAATATTATTGGAAGTTGTCAAATTTTCATTAATTAAATGAAATATTTGATACCTCGGATAATTAAATAATTAGAACAATTGTTTGTTCCGTAACATTGATTTTCAATTTTTTTCGTTTTTTTTTTTTTTTCATGCATGTGTTCGAATTATTTTGCATTGTTTATTATCACTTGCGTTTCTTTATTCGTATTATTATAATCCTTATCAAAAAATAATGCTACCCTATCATTATTAGATGTATTCAAATTCTCATTGGTACTCTCTGCGTTTTCTAATTTATTTAATTGTTTATCAGCTAAAGAACTGTCAGAATTCGATTTTATGCTAACTAACGATGAACTTGCAGCATTTGTCAAATCTTCTTCATTACGTTTCTCTATGCTTCGATATTGTATTGCTCCTTGAATCTGCTTACCTTCTGGTTGTTCTTCAATAGCTGCAAGGATATTCTGCAGTAAACCGTTGGATAAGACTTGATCGTGTTGAATATTTCCATCCGAATTATCGGTACCGTATCCACCATCAGCTGGTTGAATTTGTAATGTATACGTTCCTTTTGATCCTTCTATTTGAAATCCATCGCCATCTACTGTTAGACTTTGAGCTAAGGCTAAAGCTTGATTCGCTTCATCTGATTTTATAAACTGTGTAGCATCAATATCAGATTGTGATATACTCTTATCATCTTGGCCGTAACTCTGTGCCGTTAAGGTAGCCGTCAGTGACTCAGCTGAAAGATTTTCTGGGCCAGGATTTGTAGAAACGTCCAATAATGAATTTTGACTGTGCTTAGATGAGTTTGACACTGTATTAGAAACTGTGTTGTCATAAGTGGTTATTGCAGCATTTGCTTGATCCAATACTTTGTAATTGTCTATAGTATTTCCATAACTATCTTTAAAAGTATTTTGTTGCTTTTCATAATCTTTTAATTCTAGTTCATTTAAATTTGGTGCATTATAAGATGAAGTCAAAGCATTTGGCGCTAAATTGATAGGTAATTTGTCATCGTTTACATCCTCAGAAGCAGTACTTTCAACTTGAGTATTAGAAAAAATTTGATTATTAGAAGCACTCATTTTCAATAGATCATTATTGCTGTTACCAAAATTATATTGCGAATTATGTTTATTATTGTTGCAATCGTGTTCGAAAGCATAAAATGCAGGTGCTCCGTAGGTAGGTACAATAGATGATTGTGCACTATTATACAAATTACCCGTAGCGCCAATAGAAGAAGCTGGTCCGAAATTCGGTGCTCCATATGTTAAAGAAGGAGCAGGAGTATTAAAATCATTGAATGACAGTGGTATACCATAATTAGCGTCTGGTGCAGCTAAGGCCGCATGCACTTTAAATCCATTAGATCTGCCAAATGAATTACTTGGGGCAAATGAATTTGGTGAGGTCTGAAATATGTTGTTTTGTCTATTGGGCAATTGTTGAATTGAAGGTGGTCCATAAATTTTATATGGTTTATTTGGTGGTAAGTATTGGTTGAGATTGGATAGTAATTTTATTGGAACAGAATCCCGGAATTTCATCGGCGGCCTTCGCGGAGGAACAAAACCATTATATGGGAGTGGTGGACTTCTATGTCCTCCATGATGCCGATTTCTATTATTTCCATTATTTTTGTGGAAACTAAAATCAAACTGATTAAATAGTGGGAATTTGCTACCGCGAATAGTGTTTGATAGTGAAAATAATCCATTTGATAATATAGATGAAGGAATAGGGCCATGTGTATTTGATGGGACAGAGACATCATAATTTGCAGAAGGAATAACTGGTAGTTGTTGCAAAGTTAAGCCATTTTCACCTAAATGAAACAACAAAAATTGCAAAATAGATTAATCATAAAATTAGATTAGATTAGATAGACTGTAAAAAAAAATTATTGTTACCTGAGTTACTGTGGAAATCAGCTATCGGTATTTCGGGATTCGATGGTAATTCAAAATTAGTAGTTTTAACCGTTGACAGTGAATTACCATTAGTACCTGGATATTGTCCATTTAAATGGTGCTGGTCGATATTACTGGATGAAGAACTATCAATATGTGGATGATTATTATGAAGTGGTTCATATTGTGGCAAAGCTGGTGGTGGTAAACCATTACTTTCATGAGTAATGGTAGATTGTGAAACGGATGACTTTAGACTGTGATCTTCTGGGTTATTAAGTGGTGTTCCATAAGAATCGCTTGGTACGTTGGAAGTTGATAAAATTGGCGCAGGATGACCATTGCTTAAAGAAAAATCACTTCCAGAACCTTGATCGCCAACAGGAAGTTCGTATGCATTTGTTGGAGGTGCAAAAGCATCCGAAGATTGATAATTATTGGAAGGAAGAGGAAGATTATAATTGTCTGAAACAGGTTGTTGTTGATCAGAAGAACTTGTCAGTCCAGCTATTGGTTGCCATCCATCATACTTTATATCAGGTGGTGTTGGAGGAGCTGGAATACCAGAAGATGGAGGAGGTGGTGGATTATAGATTTCATTATTAACTGGAACACTATATTGTTGCTGAGGTAATGCTTGAATCAATGGCGGAGGAGCATAATTATCTTGAAGTTTTGACACAAATGGTGCAAAAGGTTCTTTCGTAGGTGGCCCATAAGCTTCAATTGATAACGGAATAGATACTCCGTTATCCCAAGAAGGCCGTCCAGAATTACTAGATGGTAAAGTATATTGAGACATTGTAGGAATATTAAACTTCGAAGGTAATCCATACTCGGGCTTTGGTGGTCTAAAAGAGGATAAAGGCGATCCATAATTAGGTTTTGGGGGACCATAAAGAGATTTTGGTGGGCCATACTGAGGCTTCGGTAAACTAAATTCAGATTTAGATAAACCAAATTGAGGTTGTGGTAAATTGAAATTATGATTGGGAAGTGATGGTAGTGGCTTAAAAGTTGATTTAGGTACACCATATTGCGTTTTAACTTTACTCAATGGATTATAAGACGAAAAGGATGATTGAGGTGAATTAAATTGAGATAGTGGCGGTGGTGGTTGTTCCGGTGGTGGTGAATCAAAAATTTGTGGTGGCCTCTGATCTCCAGTTAATTCAGGAGGTCCATAAACTGGACTAATCTCGTTATAATTATTATTCGAAGGTGGTCCATAATCATCAGCCGGTGGCCTGTATAAGTTACCGACTCTATTTTCTGCTTCAACGGAATCATTTCTTTTGTATTCATACGTTAACGGAGGATTTGATTTATTGATTACTGCAGTTGTCTGATATCCGATTAATAACACAAAAAATAAAACAATCGACATCTGAAAAGAAAATTATTGACTGCAGTTTCATTTTCATTTTTTTTTTTTTTTTTTTTTTTTTTTTTACTTGATATAGAACGTTAATTATTTAAAAATATTTAATTATTTAATAGATTGATTATAATTAAAATAACGGATCTTATACTACATTTAGTATTTTAAATCACTAACATTCTATACAAAGGAAAATAATTTTTTACTTGACAACATCATAAGATTAAGTAGCAATATAACATTAAATTATTAATAAATATAATATTATATTATATTATAAAATATATTATAATAATATAATATAATTAATACATATTAAATAATATAAAGTATTCATAATATAATATAAATTTATAATTGAACATAATTAAAATAATGGAACTTCATAAGTTATTCCGTTTTTTTTCATTTTTTTCTAAAACTATTAATTTTTTCTAATAATATAATGATTTCAATTTTATTATTATACTTGTTTAAATATACTATAGTTCATCTTTATTACTATCACTTACGATATTAAACAGTAAAATCTAACAAAAAATTATAATATATAGTAATTACCAGTGGGACAAATTTCATTTCATGATAGAAAATAAACAAGATAAAGCACAGCGATGTTTTTGCAAAAAACATGAGAAATAAATAAGTTTTATTTACTTATTCGAAAATTAATATGAAAAATTTAATGGAAAATTACAATTATCTCGATTACAGAATTCCGTAACTCGCAAAATTAAAAAAGACCAAATGTAAGCAGAAGAAAATTTTTCTAAAGACGATTCCAAAAAACTTCATACAGACACTATATAAAAGTCCTAAAAACAAAATTGAAAAATTCTATAATAAAATTGAAGAAACATTCCTTAAAATCTGTCCATACGTTCGTTTATTTAAAAGACAAAGAAAATGTGCTCTAATGTACTAGATTCATAAAAGGTAGAGAATAATTATAACATAAATGCAACTTTCTCTCTCCAATACTATATTATAATTATTATTATTATTCATAAGAATAATATACATATGTAAATAAAATTTCTTTTGCGATCATTTAGTTCTCACGTCATCACATAAGTGAAACCAAGGTTACGATAATTCTTTCATTCACTAAAATAAGCTGACATAATATTAATTTCAAATAAATATGTAAGAAATTAAGATAGCAAAGATCCTTAAATAATAGAAATATAATATAAATAATATAATTACACACATGAATATGCCAAGTTAAAATATTTATAAATATTATAATTTATAAATTAATATATCTTAATTTTATATTATATATAAATATTATTAGTACTCTAAAAGTTAATTTCGTTTAAAAATTTAATCATATTTTAGAAAATATAGCTTGTAATATTCACTTTAAAAAATTAAAAAATTTTTAATAAAATTTAAAACATTAACTTAAAAAAAATATAGTTATTCTCTATTCACGACTATATCGTTACAATATACAACTGAAGTACAAATGTATTATAATTATAATTTATAATCATGAAACATTTTTCTTTGCCTCTTTATATTTAACATTAATATTTTCCTTTTTCTATGAGTCTTTTTATTACGCCTATTATTTTTTTTAATTATTTTATTTTTTATTCACATTATTGTTGCGTTATTATTTTTAACTATACTTTATTTTTAATAACAACTATATTTTTTATATCATAACGTTTCTCTTATTTTCTAAACTTTATATACATTCTATATTTTAAATATTTTAACGATATATCTTTTCTATACTTTTAATATAATTTGGCGTTTTTAAAATTAAGCTTTATATCTATTTATATAATTTCCTCATATTATTAAAATTCTCGTTTTTGCCACTCTATATTGTCATATAAAATAAACTAATTTTTTTCTCAAGATTATTTCTATTTTTATATCCTATACTCCTCACTTTCTCTAAAACGTCTATGTTGTATAATACTTCTACTTTTTATTACTATAATATCTTTCTTCGCTTTCATATATTTATTTATTTTTTCGCTTCGTACCATAAAATTATATTACATATTTATTTTTTGTTATCTTTTTTCATCATTTTTTTTATTTTTGTATTTATTTTTATATTTTCACCAAATATATAGTTATATATATATTTGCTTTTCTTTTATATTCACATATTATCTATTTATATAGATTTTCTATTATCTAGAAATTTCTTTACTATTTTTATACACTTTTTACACTTAAATTATTTACTCTCATGTGTGTTCGAACATCTTATTTTTCAATTTATCTTATTCATAATATTTGTTTTTAATCTTACAAATTATTTTATTAATACAATGTATTTACATGCTTCTTTATGTTACTTATTCTTTTATAATAATATCTTTTCGCTTTAAAATATTTGTAATTACACTGTATCTATAATACTTTATTTAATTATCATTATATATTTAATTATAAAAATCTTGTTTATTAATTATTTATATTTTATTTATTGTTTTTTTTTTTCAATTGAAATATTTTATTTTATTTTTCTTATTAATATATAATAACAATTGTGTATATAATAACAATTTTTTATTCACATAACAAATCTTTATGTGTTTTTAATTACTTCTATATATTAATTGAAAAGATTTAATTTTTTCAATTTAATTCTTTATGTTTTCAAATATCCCTATTTTAAAATACCTTTTATTGGAACATCGTTCCACTAGTTATATATGATACTATTTTGTATGAATTCTTCCGTTATTCTTGAATTATAAATTGTACTTATACACTAATAATACTATGTATTTATATACTGATTTTTTATTATTTGGATACTTCATCTCTTGTCATTTGATAGTTCTATTAGTTAAGCAGTATAAAATTATAGATTAAATAAAAGATACGGAAAATGGTGATTTCAAGTACTGATAAATGAAACCGATTATCTTGTTAATGAGGAGAGTATGAAAAAAAGATATCATGTTATATAACACTTGTTGTATATCGAAAAGTTATATACATATATATATATATATATATATATAATACTAATTTATTATTTTATAAACGAAAGTAAACTAATTAATTAAAATGAATTTTTTAATAGTGGAATCTAAGTACAGCAGTTGATTTCCTCTATCACGATGCTAAAAATAAGCTGAATAATGATGAATGCTAAAAATAAATATATCATCTATTCGTTATATATTTGATTAATATATAATTACTACTTTAAAACGATTTATTTATTTAATTTCTTGAATTTTATTCATAAGTTTACAATATGTAAAGTCACATCGTTATGAGCTTGCTAAATTTAATTTTAGTCACTTTAAAATATTCATATTGTATTGTTGCTCAATATTCAGACTCTTTTTATTTACATTACATCAAAGATAATTATTACATACTGTATTCTCTAATTAGAAATAAATGTATTATATATCTTATTTATTGGCAATGTTGAAAAATAGGCTAAATATTATAAAATTTATTTTTCGTTATCTTTTTTTAAAAGATTACGAAATAAATAAATAAATAAAATTCAAATAAATAAAATTTATTTTGAAGGTTTCTTTATCTATTGAATGTTGTAGATTAAAATTTTGTACTCTGTATGTTAATTTTGTAAATAAGTATGCACATATATATATATATAACTGATTTTATAGGTTGTTTTTAAACTAAATTTATGAACTTTAAATGTAAGCCTGTGTTATTACGAAGTGTTCAGAGATCTTATGTCCCTATTTTATACAATGCACAATTGCGTCAGAAGTACCGTCGACACAATGAACGCGCTGCAAAATTTTGTAAAACTTGCTAATTGCTTCTTATGGTGTGCCAATCTTTTACTGAAGAAATAAAGAACAAAGTACATTCTTCGACATGTTTAAAAATCGACCTTTGGTTTATTACAAAATCTTAAACAAATTTATGAAGCAAATAATTCTTAAATTTAGTTTAATTTTTGCGAAAGTCAAAAAATACATTTTTCATGCAATTCTTTGGTTATGATGGTAAATTGAATCAATAAAATTAATTTTATTCACTTTAAAATATTCATATTTTCTTATTCAGAAACATTTGAAATAGTAATGATATTAATTTTAATGTAACGGTATATAAATATTAATAAATAACAATTGATTTATACATAGATCTAACGCTATCTAAATTATTCTTGAATATGTGTACATGAACATGTATACTTAAACACATAGTATTATGGATATATACATATTTATATAGAAAGTATACTAAATAAATTTCATAAGTGGTGATATAATGTTCTAAAAGACAATAACAAATATTTATTTAATATAATCTATGACAGAAATATTAAATAAAATATATTTGCATTACGATGAAGAATAAATAATATTTTACGTAATATAATTTTAATTTAGGCTCTTTGAATATTTTCTTTATCGTACTTTATAAATGTTTAAAATAATTATTTAATTACCAAACAAATAATTGCATTTATAATTTTTGATAGAAAAGCTAGGATTAATTATATTTATATTTATTTTTACTGTATAATTGTAAATATTTTCAAATATGTCAATATATCATAAACTGATTATTAATATAAAGAATTAATCATGAATAGTTTACAAGTGTTAAATAAAATTTTTTTATTTCAATTTATTCAAACTAAATAAAACATGATAAAATATAATTTTGTGACAAATATAATCAATATTATTAATAATTTATGTTTTTAATTTATTATTATTTTACTTTGAAATGAATGCATCAATTGTTAATCAATTTTTTAATACTTAAAAATTCCTCGTACATTTATAACTAAGAATCTTAGTAACACATATGGTAATTTATATACTGATATTATTTTAACAGTTAAAGAGTATTATTCAATTTTAGCATGACGACGTGTCTATATTTAACATATTTATTCATTTTCAATAATTATATTCAATATATTCAATAAAAAATATTTTTAGCCTCTATTCATTATCATATAAAATTAAAAACCCTTTCTTTAAACATATAATTAATAGAATATATAAATAAATTGAAAAACTAATACTTAGGAAAAACTAATATCTAGTATAAAAAAAGTATTAGTAATTTTAAAAGATTAAATAATTCTTCTCTAGTCAAAAAATTTTTGAAATGGAAAAAGTATTATTTTTATAATAATAAAAATAAAAGTTATATTTTAATGCAATTATATAATCATAGTATATAATACAATAATGTAAAAACTACAAATCCATTAATGGTATAAATTAAAACCAAAACAATATGTCTATTAGTATTTGAATTTATAGATTAATAATAATTTTAAAAAGATGCTATAAAAATAATGTTATAATCATATAATATATTTATAATTTTTGGTATTATTGGTATAAGTATTACGTATAATTATCACTCATTGAAATTAATTATTCTATATAGAAACATCAGGCTGCACTACATTAACAAACTTCACTACAACGAGAAATCAAAATTAGCCTCAATTATCGAACATCCACAACTAATGATACTTACAAACTGTATTTATGCCTCTCGTGGGGACGTGGGAGCTTCCGCGATTGATGTGTCAAGAGACTTTACCATTTATGCTTACTGAATTACTAACCGATTTCTCTCTCTCTCTCTCTCTCTCTCTCTCTCTCTCTCTCTCTCTCTCTCTCTCACTCTCCTTGCCCCTCTTAGCTTACATTCGCTCATTTCGTTTCTTTCTCTACTTATCATTCTTTATTTTCTTTATATTGTTTAGATTTTCTTTTTCACGGTAATTACATAATCTGCATGCTTATAATAAGTAAGTTTATACTAATAGAAATATTTGCCAAAATAGAAATACAATACGTAACAAATTATAGGATGTTTTTTTTCCTGAAAATATTTCTTCATCTTTCTTACTTTTATAAAAAGGAAATACATTGAAATATCGCATAACAATAATTAGATACTATTACTAATTACTCAAACACTAATATATCAATTTGTTTTATAAGTTTGTAGTTAAATACTTATTTGAAACTACTTTTTATGATCTTATTACAAAATAAAATAGAATAAAATTTATAATAAAATTAATAAAAGTTATTCAATAATGTTAATCAATTTAAACATTTAATAATAATGTAAAAAAATTCATTTATAATAATCATTATTATTGAATTTTTATTTTTATCAGCATTTACTATTCAAAAGAATAAATCGGACAAAATATTTTAAATCGTGAAAAAAATATTAAAAAGGGAAAGCCTCTTTGATATTTTCCTTCTCTCTAATAATAATAATAATAATAATAATAAACAAAAACAAAAACAAAAATTCAATTATATTATATTTATATGAAATATATAAGTAAAAAAGAAAAAAAAAGTTATTTAAATTTATTTATGAAAAATGTTCGTTTGATATTTTTCATTTCGCTAGATATTATAATAAACTTACTTCTTAATATCCAAGCATAATTGGAAATTTGAATAGATTTTTAATTGCGCTATTATTGATTATTACAAATTACTTTCGGTGCATTATGACATTTGTATTACAGTAATCACGAGTCATCAGTATTAATATAAACCGGCATTTTATGAATTATTAAACAATAATATGCCATTAAAAAATAGCACAAAAACCCTTAAAAAAAAAAAAAAAAAAAAAAAAAAGGAAATAGAATGCGTGTTTCAAACAAACAACTTGTAAACTTCAATGTGCTAATAACAAATGAAGCGCAGATTTCAAATCTCTTCATATTTGACACTGCTTTCCTAAAAGTCAAATTGCTGACAGAACTTTCACACTCATTACAATCAACGTACCTTGTTACGCACCATGACACTATCTGGTAATTATCACTTCAAATCGACTAATCGAACTCTAATTCACGCTGTGGTTAAATTCACTGCTCCAAAAAGCAGCAAATCCTAAGTATATTGTCCCGACAAGACGAATATTGTGCAAAATAAATTCACATTGTCGCGGTCATTGCTCTTTAATTAAATATGTGAACACCAGCTTACACGTGGTGTCGTTCAACGCGAGCGCGCGAAGAGATGCGCGAAGCTCACTCGCTCTCAAAAAATATTGAGTCTCACTTAGCGAGCTCCCAGCTTATATAGACTATAGCTCGACTCAACATTCTCTCCTACCCCACCATATTCCAACTCGTACGAGGACTAAGGATAGCGCCATGCTGGTGCCATTCTATGGTTTGGTCAGTAGCGACGACGACGAACCGCTAGGTGAATTTCTTGCTTCGGGAATGATTGTAGGAACGGAGATGTTCATCGTTTGTCTATCTCATTCAGACGCGTGAGGAGAATGTCAGTAGCGCGACTCCTACGTGTGTGGGTAACGAAAGGGAAGTAAAACTATGTGCAAAGAAATGAAAGTCTGTTTTTATGAATGAATGAGCCGGTTTTACAGGAGCATAGAAGCAGATTCATTTGAAAATAATACCAACTTAAATAATTAACATAATTATAATCATGATGGATTCGCGGTCAGGTGTATTAGTTAATGTTCCACATAATAATGTGAAGGATTGAAGTTTCGTTAAAGATTTCAGTCCTTATTTTGCGGACATTTCGTATTATACAATGATAAATTAAAAACGAGTTCATTTAATACATATCCATTAATTTATGTATTAATAATTAAAACAAATAGCATTGCTAATGTTATTGGTATTTCAATTACAGGCTTTTATAATAATAATAATAATTATATATTATCAATTTTTAGTATAAGGTTAATTTTATACAGAGTTGGTTTGTAATTTGTTCTTTATTCTAAAAATTGAGTTAGGCATTCACAACTATATTATATAAGAAAGTAGTTAAATTAAACCGGTATTATAATTAATATGATCTAATTTTCTAATTACGATTATAAAATTACGAATATAATCGTCTCTTGCATATTAAAATTATTTTTTATGATATATTTTTTATAGTTACATATAGTATCCATACTAAAAATCGATTTATTTACGTACATTGCATATAGAAAATACTTGAATTTAATAAGCATGAAATAATTTCTATAAAAATGTCTATTTATATAATAGTTAATAATATTTAATATCTAATTATAATTGTAGATACATTTTTTTCTTATGAACAATAAGTATAATAAATAGAATAAATATATTTATTTATTTTCTTCTATTTAATTCAATGGTTTAAGCTAGTTTTAAAAAAACTCAATTTTCAGACAAACAAAAAATTACAGAAAATTTTTATTTGTAATCAAAGTATGAAATTAATAAATGAAAATTATAAATTAAATTATAAATATCTAATTATAATTAACATTAAAGATAAGTAAATTATTATTAAATTCTATATTTCTTGTAATAAAACATATTTCTATATTTACTATATATATATTCCATAAATAATTAGCTCCAATTCATATTTTTTCATGACATACTTATAAAATGAATACAAAATTTAATGAAATGGAAACATTTTTAATTTTTTGTAAAACTGAAAAATTTCAAGTATTTTATACATTATTCATTCATCTTATATATTTATATAGGTTACACTTATCATCGATTTAATTCTCTACACGCATTATATACATACATCTCAGATATATATTTCTCCACGCACTATATATATACATATATATATATATATATATATATATATATATATATATATATAATTATTGTGATTGCTCATAATCGTATGAAAAATAAATTAAACAAGATTTAATGCACTATTGATCATTAATGATCTCAAATTTTATTATAAATACCGTTTCTATAATTTATAACATTTACAAAAATTCAATAGTTGTTCCTAAATTTTGCAATAGTAATTACAAGTTATGTTTAAAAGTTCATATTATTTGTATATCACCATATAGTAAATAGCTTTATTGCAATCGAATTTGAATCAAACTAAAAACGTAATTTTGATTATATTTTTTTCGTTATATAAAAATATTATTTTATAAATTACAAAAATTATTATTATTATTATTATTACGTACAAACTAAAAATTATTATTACGTACAAATCCATGTATTTATTTAAAATTATTTATTCGAAGTCACTTCATATATATTATAATTTAAAATAAAATTGTATAATTTTAACTCGAAATATTTGATGATTCCTTAAGTGTAGTATAAATGAAATAAATTATATAATTGGTTTGAGTTGGCTGTTAAAATATTTATACTTTAGCATTATTAATTAATATTCGCTTATAAATACACGATATATATATATATATTAGAAAAAAAATTAGAAAAAAAAATGAAGAGGAAAAGTTTCTCCTAAGTAAACACAATGATTTTATTATATTAATTATAAAGTTATGACTCAATAATATTTGAAGTATCGCTGTTGGGCATCATAAGCTATTTGACTTTGTAAATTATTAAAAATGTTGTAAGAGCAAGCATCTGCTCTAATTATGGGTTAAAACATAAATCAGCACATTAAATAAATTGACTGCGTTCTATTTAAAGAATTATTCATAATCAACATTTTCAATAAATTGAAATATAGAAGAGATAAAATAAGAGTATAAGGAACTTAGTAAAACTGACGGTAGTAAGAAAGAGAAAATAAGATTTCGAAGCGCGAATGTACAAAATCGTTCGACAGACGGTCGAGAAGAGGAGAAAAGCGAGTGAGCGGTGGCTCCTCACACGCGCTGGGTTACAAAGAAAAATTCACTTTATGGAGAAAGTAGGCTACACTACGGGAGAGTATCTGGTGGGTATTCCTCAAAAGAAGATATTCCTGACTTCGATCGACCCTGAGAATAAAATCGATGATCATTTAAACTTATAATGGGATATATAAGTATGCGAGTTTAAGATTGAGCTATCGTGCATACGTAATCATGTACTACTATCGAAAGTGGATATTGAAATTCATGGAATTTCTTGAACTACAAACAGGAATCAGAATTCTTTTGAAACTGAAATTCCTACAATTTGTTTAAAATGTTAATCGTTTGATGTTTTTTCTCTTCATTTTGTATTATAATCACATATAAAGAAAAAAGTTTATTTCATTACATGTTTATTTATATGATTGTATAAAAATAGTAAGTTACAAAATTCAAAATCAATCTAACATGTGTAACTAAGTACACACACACATATATTTTATGTGTACGTGTGTCTCTGTGTGTGTGTATGTGTGTGTGTGTATGTGCGCGCGCGCGCGTGTGCGTGTGTGCGTGCGTGTGTGCGCGCGCGCGTCTGTGTGTGTGTGTGCGTGTATAAGTATTGCAAATATGAATATAAAGGTGGTAAAATTATGAAATACATATTTATATCAAATAACTAACTAATTAAAAGTTCGAGTCTTCAGACCGGTTCTCATTATACAAGATTCAACCATACATTAAAATCTTTCTATTTTCTGCTACTTAAACTGTTTTAGGTAAGGGCTCTCTCTCTCTCTCTCTCTCTCTCTCTCTCTCTCTCTCTCTCTCTCTCTGTCCATTAAAAAGAATGAATTGGCTTGTCTATATTTGAAATATATGGCCGTTTCCTCTTTGTTCAAGATCTATAGGCACTTACAATTTGAACTAGTACTATGTTATCCAAAAAATTTCCGAGTTTGATAGTACCCCAGCTGAAATAGGACATACAAAATTTCATCCGTGAAAAATGAATGTACAATATGTAACTTACATTAAATCGGCTATATTTCAATTGTTATGGAATTCGTCGTTTTACTTAACAATGGTAATAACTGTCTTCCAAATTATTAGGATTTATTATTACGATTATAATGAAATAAAAATGTATACATTTTTTATTTTTGATTTATAATTATACTATATAATTTTTAATAAGCTAATTATGTATTTTATAGATTTATAATGAATTTCTACATTATATATATATTTCCTGTTAACTGTATAAGTTATTATTTGTTATTTATAATTAATTTATTACAATAATAATCCTTTAATTAATCAATTAAGACGTTGTTTAAAAGATAGATGTATTAAAGACTAAATATTTTTAAATTTCGTTTAATATTTTCGCTGACCGTTTAAAGGTATATTTGAAAGTAGTAATTTTCATAATTGCATTGTACAAGAAAACTTAAGTTTTGCAACAATTATTATATCTTTATAGGTCGATAACGTAGTTTTAATGCGCACTTAAAGGCAAATTTTATTAGCAATGTATTAGAAAATTAATTTAATCTTTATAATTTAGAATAAAAATTTAAATCATCTTTACTACTTTGTAATTGGAAATGTAAAGAAAATCTTTCATAAAATGAAATGTGTGAATCATTATCGTTCATTACTCAATTTTAAGGAATTACATTTAAGCAATAAAATTTAATTCATGTTTTTTTCTTTTTTGCTTAACGTAATTATTCCTAGATTTCGTTTTATAAAACGTACTATTTATTTAAAAAATATGGAAATATTTATTTAATAATGAATAAATAATGCTATATACAATTTATAATAACTTGCATTAAAATTGGTTTTTTAATATTGTTTCAATAAACTATTTTCTATTTTCAGATATATTTTTATCCACTGTTCTATCGATCTTATCTTAATTAAAATAATAGAGTATTATTATTCATTTTTTCTATTTATTTCACAAATTTATTGAAATAAATATTATACAATTTTGATTTTGCAATTTAGAATAGGAACGATAATAAAATAATAAATTGATTAAATCAATAAAAGATACATAACTATCTATACGAATGTATGATTTATAAATGTTTTTATATAATGTTGTTTAAATAAAATATAATAAAAAATATACGAGTTGAAAAGTATTGTTAAAATTTTGAAATTGATTTATAATTGTATGCATTTAAATATCTGCACTTTCAAAATCTTCTTAACTTTTAACGCTGTAATCTATTCTCCAAATAATCATAAGTCATAGAAGACAAACCTAGATGGAAAATAAACTACGTTTGCTCTTTCCAAATACAAGATTTTTTATTTACGTATTTAAACATCGACTTGTGTAAGCGCTAAAATAAATAACAGTTGTGCATGAGAAATTACTAATCGAAAAACAGTATTTTTCTAATTTTACCA